AAAAATTCAACATTTGGCTTTCACTAGCTGGTAATAGGCTGGCTCCAGCATATCACTGTCTCACTATGGCTTTGTAGTGGGTCTTGATAACAGGTAACGTAAATTCTCAAACTCCATTGTTTTTTCAAAATTGTTTACCAAAGAGGTACTTGTTTCAAATTTGAAATTAGTGTAACTCTACCTTTATTTAGGTCCCTTCTGCTTTCTTAAGTCAATTTTAGTTGTCAATAGACTGATACTACACAGCTTGCTAAATTTCTTGAGTTCGTCTCCAGAAGAAGAAATTGTAAATTTGCACACTTGGGAGGAAATGGGAAAACAGCTTAGAGAAAGACTAGGGGAAATACAAACCAACAGAAATCAGCTGGCCCTGTACAGATTTTAAAGGGTTATTTAATAAAACTGATGCCTTCTGCTCCTCTCATTACTTCTCACAGGCCCCCAGGCAGGGGAGTACACCAAAACCTCCACTGAGCCTGGAGTTTGGCCCAGACAAGGAAGGTAAAGAAGCAGTGTTGCTTGTTTCAGCTGCAAGGAGAAATCAGGGTTATGGCTCAATCTCCTGGAAACACAGTTCAAATCTCCTTCTATTATTACATTGCTCAATTGGTTATTCTTCCCTTGACAAAAACTGGAAAATCTACAAATACGGAAAGGGGACCTAAGGATTTTGGATCATCTGATACTTACTAGAGAGGTGGCATGCGGCTCTGTCCTGCCCAAGCCATCCTGGTTTTTCCTATCACCTGTGCACACACTTTATGAATTAAACAGTTTACACTGCACTGATGCTCAGATCCCCAACAACAGTGGGGCCTCCAGCCCAGAGCAGGAGCACCACCTGCATGTCACAGGAGAGCTCAAGGTACCAAAATACAAAATGCAGTTTCCATTTTCTCTATACCTTATCACAAAAATTCCTTATAATCCTCTGGTTTAAAAATGATTAAATGTGCTAACAATTTAAATTTCAAAAAAAGGGGGGGGGTAGTACATCTCATAATAGATTTCACTTGGCAGTATATACTATTTAAAAAATTTTAATATTCTAATAAAGATGGAAATACTATAGCAAAAAGATAATACAATTAAATAAAGGCTAAAATGGGGAAAGATCTTCATACTGGACAATAAAAGCACCCAGTCAAGTGCCAGTGTGGGGTCAAGGATACGCTTGTGTTTTTCTAGGAAAAGCTAAATGGGTGGCAGTGTGTGTGCTGTCCAGCTGTATCATGGGCCCAGACCCAAGAACCAAGTTGATTCTACCTCTCAAGAGGCTGATGCTCAGTTCTATGACAGTGATGCCTTGAAGACCAAGGCACAACCCATAGAAAAGGATGAAGCTAGAACCAACCTTAATTGACCCAAGATGCCCAGGAGTTGGTAATCAAAAATAAAAAAGGTCCAAATAGATGATATGAGTGCATGTTAAGTCCTATGTCAAAATATATGTTAATTATAGGTAAGATTTTGTCTTTTTCAAATTTTTTGATTAAGAGATCTTTGCCAATTGATCTACAATGTGACTAGTCTATTTAAAATTGTAAATTCTACAATTGTAAAAAAAATTTGTGTAATTCAATTTGGCTAAAATATATTTGAATACACTCTGATTGTGAAAGATGTTTGTAAATCTGTCTGTGTATCTGTTTGTCTGTTTGTCCAGTCTGTTAAGCTGTTTCTGGAAGTCGCTGAGCTAGTGATCGCTCACACATGTGAAGCCAATAGCACAAGTGCCCGTACAGGAGTGTCCGAGACACATGGGGTGCTGAGAAACGCCCTGCGGGCCTGGGGTGCTGGAGGGGACAGGTGTTTCAACCTTGAGGACATGGGGTGTAAAAAGCAAGCTAGTTCAGCAAAGGGGTGTGAAATAGCCGCCCGGAACTTGGAGAGGTCTTGTGGACACCAACAACTCTGCATTTGTCTCTACCTCTGTTTGAATCTGTACAGATTGTCTGTGCATGTTTGTCCATTTGTCTGTTTGTGAACAGCTGTTCTTTTTATTTTGAGCTCAGCAATTTTCCTTTTTCTTTTGCATTTATAGATCATTTAATCAAGGTTTATTTGAGTGATAGAATTACAAAACATGCTTCCACCTGGGTTCCCAGTTAGTCGATATGATGCTAAAGTCAGTTGTGTAAATGTAATACACATTGTTGATTATCGTAACGAGATTCTCTCATTGTTCAAAAATAATATGTTAAATGTTATGATTGGAGTTTTTAAGAAAAAACATTATAAAAGTGATTAAATAAAATCCCTTGGGGTTGGGATTGTTGGACAGGACTTCAACTGATAAATAAGAAAGTGGCCACCTGGTAACATTTTATCAGCTCTCGTTCATTGATTGGAGGCCCCAGTGATCTCCATAGCCTTAGGGGAGTCACCCCAACTAAAGTTATATAAATATTATTGTAATATATTCACATTGGCCATCATCAAAAGAAATAATACAAAAGGTTTTTGATTTAAAAAATGCCCATACAAAGGTTTTCATATGTTATGACAAATGATTGCTGTTAACCTCATGGTGTATTCATGTATTTATGTCTCTAGATGTACAGGTCTTTGAAAATGTAAAAATAAATTGTTTATGGTGACAAACTTTTGTTTCAGATTCAGACCTCTGTCTCCAACAAATGCTTATGAGATGTACATCCTACTAAAGGTCAACAAGTTAGGTAAAGGCTTTTATGTATTAGATGAGGATTACTGGCCAAAAGGGAGAAATTTGATGTCAAAATGAAAAGTCAAGTGTATTACAAAATATCATCATGGTTTTTGTGCTATATATTGTATATGGTTTAATTTCTAATTTTCTATGTAAAATATGTAACTGTTCATTAATATTTTTCAAGGGTCAAAACACATGGTTGTTAAAGAAATAATGGTTCTATTTTATGTTGTAAGATGTTTGATATTTAGATAAGATGATAATGCCTCTACTACATTGTACTGTTGTCAGTCTTTTCTTCTGGATGTTCAACAACTGAGGTTTGGAGACCAACAATTAGAGAGACAGATGGGCTAAGAGGATAGCCAGTATTTTGGCTCTGGCCCTCCAAGGTCAGTGAGGACTCAGGACATAAGAGAACCTCTGCTGCGTCATCCTAGACTCGGTCAGTCCCTGATCTTCTGATCAAGAAGACTGTGAGGCCACTGAGGAAACTGATTATTGGTGTGTGGTGTTTCTAAGGAGAGTCACCAGGAGCAAAATCTCCCAAGTTTTCACAGAAAGTGACTTGGTCAAGCAATGGCCGTGACTCATCTGAACGGCTGACACTGACAGAAGAACTAAGAGGTGCTACAGCTGGTTCCAAGGTTCCTGAGGAGACTTAGCTGACCTTGATAGATAACAAAAACTGTGTTTAAAAACAGGTCTCACCTTAAGTTGGCCTTGAATGTCCTGCAGAAAATGTATAACTACTAGAGGTATATAAAGCAATGCTAAAGTAATACATTATAAAAGAAGCTCAAATCACTAATACCTTTTGCAATTGTCAGCTATATTGTAGCTGTGACAGTAGCTAACTACTGTCACAGATTAATGGACTGTACAGAGTTTCAATTGTGGAATGCAGGGACTTAAAATTCTTTTGACTGCACTTAAAATAAAAAGATCTACAGAGCTCTCCAACATAGCTCTTGCAGCTTCAAATGACCACCCATCCTGTGCAACAACAAAACAAAAAAGAGGGATATGTTGGGAGCCCTTGAAGCTGGAGATTGACCACATGTGTGGGGCTAAAGCAAGGCCAGCCCAGAGAAAACAGACCAAAACAAGCTATGTAAACAAGTTGTTCCAGCACCAAGAAGGCAAGGGCCCAAACCTGCCAAGCAATGGGTTGCTAGGCAGAGGGGCTGAAATTGACATCATCTTTCCCAGTATATAAATAACAGTGCTACAGTGGTTGAGCAGTTCCTTTCCTCCCATCAGGAGGATAAGGGCTCACCTGACCCCAGCTTTGTTTTTTCTTTATTTTTCTCATCCTCTCTCTGGTCCTTAACCTCAAGAACCTCAGGAGCCACATTAGGTCACAGCATGAACTCAGAATGCATGATATATCATTAGTTTTAAATTCCCTAGTTGTTTTAGGTACTTTTCTTGTTGTTGAGACAAAACACTGATACTCACAACTACTAGGAGGAAAGATTTATTTCAGCTCACATTTTGTAGAGGTTTCAACCCATAGTTGGTTGACCCCAAGGTAAAGCAGTGTGGCAGGGGGCATCACTAGGAGAATCAGCACATGGCAGGGCAGACAGAAGGTGGCAGCAGCAGCAGCAGCAGCAGCAGCAGCGAGACTGCTTTCTTGCTGTCCCTTTATTTTCCAAGTCTATTAATTAGTGCCACCTATACCCAGAGTGAGGCTGAGGGAAGTGATGGAAACCATGAGCACCCAACAGAGGCTTCCATTTTGGATACCCAGAATGACGCTGAACTAATTTAGTTACCATGCCTTTAATTCCATGCCTTTAATCAGTGTGTGACACACCGATACCCTGCCTGATTTAGCACTATGCACCCACGATCCAGCCACCAATTCCCAAAAATCCCATCTAGGTGCACCTGAGGCTTTGGGAAACATCTAGATACAAGCTATAACACTAGTGATACATAAAACACAAGAGTATTTTATGATAAACACTATCCTTTTATAGAATTGCCTGTTCAGCCTTTACTGCAGAATGGTATGCTAGAACTCAGAAAGATCAACTGATGTGATTCAACTGAAAATATTCCTTAAACAAATACTAATGTAAACCAGAATCTAAGAAAACATAGGAAGAAAGTAGGAGGGCCATTCTTTTTAAAGGAAAAAATTGAAAGAAATCATGAGAGTGTTTAGCAGAAAGAGAGTCATAGTTTCTACTCAACACAGCCCAAGTGGAGAAGACCAAAATTTCTTTGTTACAGGAAAAAAAATTAAAGTCTGTCATGGGCCAAAAGTCAGTGTCATGTATAGTAATTTAGAAATGAAAAAAAGGGGGGTGGAAAAGAGTTTGGGAAATCACAGGCACAAACCCACAGCAAAGTTCTCTAAAACATTCACTTCCAGTTTGCAGATAGGAAAGAACTGCAGTCAGTTTTCACAGGCCCAAAGCTCCGAAGCACCACAAACAGATCTGAAGCCCTCCCTGGTTCACACAGCTCCTACTGTAGCGAAATCTCACATTAAGTTCACAGCCAGCAGTACTCAGCCAGGAAAGATAGACCAAAATAGGAATTACTCCTCCAATACAATAAATGACATGAAATTTTAAGAAGCTTCCAAAGTCATGGATATTTAGGTGGTTTTATGTCTGACCTTGCTGCCAGAACTTTAATCACAGATCTTAGATCTAGAAACATCCGTGTACCTGCGATCTCACTGTGCCTGGCCTACAGCTTGCTGAAACATTTCCAGTTTCGCTTGCATCACTGCTGCCATTCTGTGTGCATCGTGTCCTGAGGGGCCCGAGCTGGCCCTGTGTGGCAGTGTTGGGTGGTGGCATCTTTAAAAGCTGGAGCCTTGAGGTAATCCTAGGTCCTGGAGCATCACCTTTGCAAGGGATTAATGGGTTTCTCAAGTAACTGAGTTAACTCTTGTGCGAGTGGGCTGTTAAAAATCAAGGCCTCCCAATTGAGCTCCCTGTCTCACTGGTTCCCTTGCTGCTTCTCCACCATTTGAGATGTGAGCAGAGGGACTTGGTCACATGCCACGCCATGGAGACTTCCCACACTCCAGAACTGTGAGCCATGTAAGGCTCCTTCTTTACACAGCATTTAGTGTTTTGATACAGTGACACAAAACGGATTCTGGGGTATTGAGGTAGGAGGAAAATAACGAAGGTTAAGGCAAGGCCCGAGGTACTTAAGATGGGGTAGGAGTGCTAAGAATGTGAGAGAGAGAGGACAAGAGCATCCCCAGGAGAGAAAGGGTGTCACATTGCCTAGGTTTTGTGTCTCCTTTGTAATAGAAATAAAGAATTTGAGTAATTTAAGAAACACCAGTAGGCTGATCAATGCATTTCTCTGGCTGTGCCATTGTTCACAGGCTGCAGGCCCAGGTCAGGGTTCTAAGCCGGGCTGTGTGGGAGCTGCTCACCAGACTCTGCACTTATAGAGGCCAAGTGTGGCCTCAGCAGAGGGAAAGCAATAATGCCAAAAGAGCCAATCACTCCCAGCCCTGAGAGTTACAGGAATGGTCTCAAAGGGCTGAAGAGATGCTGTGAAGGCCAAGAACAGTTGATGCAATTAAAAGTAGGATGCAGGGATCTTTTTCTACATTGCTAGTGACTTTTATGGCACAGCAATATTTCCAAACCTTTGGAGAAATGATGCACTGGAAACTAGCTTCCAGCCAGCTTCCTAATGTCCACATTTTACAATATTAAGTTTCAGGTGGTCAAGAGAAAGTGAGTCATGGTAATACCCAGACTAGATGAATGGTACTGTCATGTGCTATCAGATGATGTGCCAGGCTGTGGAATTTAAAATTAATAAAAGCCAGGAATCATTAGTGCAAGTACTAAGTATTAGAAACACTGATGGCACAACCCTGGCCTGGACCCCAGACCCTGCCTCTCCTGCTGTGGAGGCCTAGATGGCTTAGTCATGGTCTCAGCGGCCCTGCAACCTTCAGTCAGGAGGCCCATGGACATCAGGAAACGGAGGGGCAGACACCAAGTGGTGGAAGGGCCTGCCGGAACCAAGGGAGCCTCCCACTGTTAGTGACTGGTCAGAGGGGGAGTGTGCCGAAGAAACCTGGTGAACATGAAAGGATTCTGCCCTGTATAGAAAGCTGCAGCGGTGGAAGGCTGGGAGGCAGAACCAAGGGGCTCTATCTTGAGGTCACCTTTCCGCCCCTAGGCAATTTACCTGTGGCGCGAAATGAATTCCAATGGGCTACCTGTGCATCACTAATGCCCCTTAGGCACCACCCCAAACCTAAGCTATATGTGTGCCCCCCATACCATGTGTGGGGTGGAGAGAATGCCAGACCCCAGAGGTCATGGAGTCTCTCTCCACATTCTTAAAATAAAGCCCACTTTTATTTCATATTTCTTATCTTTTTAACCATGCCGAAAATTCTATCGGAAGAGATCCCAGATAATTCAAGAATTTTGATATTCAGTTCAAGTTGATTGTTTTTAATTTTAGTTGACTCTTAAACACTCAACTCTGATGTCAAAAGTATCCCTTTTTTTTCTTAGAGGCGATCCCTCTGCTCCAATCACAAGTGGTTTGATTCCAGTGAAATTCTGGCAAACTTAGAAGGTTAAAAATAAAGAAGAAACATCAGTTTTCAGGGACTCTTAGAACTGAAACATTAACATTTGGATTTGATGTGTCACAGTTGTGAATCAGCCTATTTGAATCTTGGACTTCCACACAGACGGTAAGTCCCTAAAAAGCCCATTTTTAGTGTAAAACTCTTCTACTCCGGCTACTTTCCTCTTGTGGAGTGGTCCTGTGAAGTGTGGATGAGAATGGTCCACTGCAATGTTTGTATACTTTTTCAAATAGCCACACAAGGGGCTGGGGATTTAGCTCAGTAGCATAAGCGCCTGCCTTGCAAGTGTGCGGTCATGAGTTTGATCCCTGGTACCGATAAAAATGAAAAAGACAGAAAACAAAAAACAAACAAAATAAAATAGCCACACAATAAAGTTTCATAAAATCCACATTTGTAAACAAAGCTTAATATTGTTGAGAACATCAGTAATAGTCGTTCCTATTGTACCGATCAGGAAGCTGAGTCCTGTGTTTCAGTTACAATTATCACAATGTGACCACACATACAAAAAGACTTAGGTTCCAGATAGTGGTGGTTGCTGATTTACTTGCAGGTTTTGACATATGAGCCTTACATTTTATTTCCTAAAAAAGAAAATCTGCTTACTCTCTGTCTCTCCCACAAACTGAGCACCCCAGAGGGAAAGGAAAAGACTTCAATTTCTTCCCTCACCCTAGCACAGAGCCTGAAGCACAGAAGCTTCTTGGAGTCTCCTGGACAAGGGGATTGAAACGTCTCCTGAGGTGTCCATCTGTCCTTCCTGGCTCTCCAATCTATCCTGCTGTTAATAAGTTAAGGTTTCTGAGACAAGGGAATCTAACCACTCCTCTGTCCGGGTGCCATGCCCCCTTCTCTCCATGGTCCCCTGGCCCTGGTGACAAGAAGACAAGTGCACACTGGCTGTACCTCCAAGAAGGCTGCAGTGCCCTCAGCAGCCTTCCTAGTTTTCAGTTTTGATGATCTCAACCATGCTAAGGAGAAACTGAGGCCAAGGGAGATTGGAGAGTAGGTGACACCCCAAGGTCTCCTGCCCATGTGTCAGAAAGCACAGCACGCTGCACTTTAGAACCCAGGGTAAATCACGGTTCATACTCCCTACCTCAGTGCACGTCTCTCAAAACCAGGGATTTTCTGCCCAGGAGAACTCAGAAAAGATAGTTCCATGACTGATTATGTTCTGTGAACACAGAGTTTTCAAGGCTGGTGTTTAAGATTCTAAAGTGTCTTCTCCCTCGTGGCTTACCAGCACCTCTAGCCCATGAAATGTGATCTCACAAATAAATACGCTTTGTCTGCTGGTTCACCAAAGTGACAAAGCCCACAAGATGCAGTTGTGAAGACAAAATCACTCCAGCAAGTGCACCTTGGAAAGAGAGCAGGGCTGGCAACAGGGCTGTCACAGGGGCCTTTGCTGTGTTCACGTTAGAGGCAGAGAAACCTTAGATTTGGGCTCAGGAAAGTATCTCATCCTTCTGAGCCTGCATTTCCACATATGTGGGAAAGGGAATGGCAAGTGTCTGTCTATTTTCACCTAGTTATTGTGAGAGTGAGAAGCTGTGGAAGCAGGAGATATTAACACTCACTCACCAAGCATGCTGTGGGTGCACCTGTGAGAGTCCCATGCCAGTTCCTGGTCTGAACTGTAGAAGATGATTCTGGATTACTAGGTGGATTAGCACCAACTTTGCTGAATTTAGTTTTAGGATTCCGTGTAGATCAATAGAACTTAGATATTTTAGAAAGTTGTGACTCTTACCTTTTATTTGGCCACAGCACGCATGCAGGAAACAAACAAAACAAGAATGAATTCACAGCCCTGCAGCTGGATGGAACATAGCAAAGGAGACCTGCCAGGAGGGGGACAGTTTCTGTGACAGCCTCATCACACCCTGTGTGTGCAGAAGGAAACTCCCTGCCTGCCAGTGCCTCATCCTCCAGAGCCTGGGGAGTGCTCCCTGTCCTGTACCCTGTACCCAGGTCTAGTGCTGGCCGATGACTGGGGTCCCAGTGCTGCTCAAGTGCTGTAAGGGCCAGCCCTCCTCCATGACTGCTCTGGAACTCTCTGTCTTTGGCTACTCACGTGCACCCCTGCTGGGGTCTGCTTCTTCTGACTCCCTGTGGTCCTTAGAAGATGAGCCCCTTCCTTAGGAAAACAGCCCCTGAGACACATATGTCTGTTCGCTGCGTTACCTAAGGACAGGAAGTGTAAAACATCACGGCAGGAGAAGGAGAGAAAAAGACAGACACAGAAAGAACAGAATCCTCCAAAATTTTGTTTCAGGCTGAACCCCCAATTTATACGGACTATAATTATAGACATATTCTGGGTACAATACAATTGTTTCTCTCTTTTTTACAAGCTGCTGAGGATTGAATTTGGGCATCACACATGCCAGGCAAGCTCTCTACCCTTGAACTACAATCCCCGCCGTTGTTTTACATTTTATTGGAAGACAGAGTATAACTAAGTCACCCGGGTTTCCTTCCACCCCAAAGTTTTGTTTTGTTTGGTTTTGTTTTTGAGACAGGGTCTCACTATGTAGTTCAGTGTCCTTGAGCTCATTTTGTAGCACAGGTTAGTCTTGAACTTGCAAGAATCCTCCTGCCTCAGCCTCCCAAGTGCTGGGATTACAAGTGTGTTCCACTATGCCCAGCTATTCTTCTAAATGTTTAAAAACACTAGAAGTGACCCTGCTGAGGGCCCTCTTTTTCTAGCAAGGAGCAAGCTGGAACAGTCCTGACATCACAGAGAACCCATTTCTGTAGCTCTCTCCTGAGGTCTGTGGGCAAGGTCAGGTTGCAAGTGGGGCTCTGAGCGCCATCCTTGGAAGTCCTGGCTTTGGGCCCTGGCTGGAACACACCCAGCTTTGTTAGAACATCACTGAACCATGCAGGCATTGGCACCTGCCCTCGTGGAGCTCATGCAGCCCTAAAATCAAAATGAATTCTCAAATTAAAGGGAAATAAAATCACAAACTGAATTAACTTCAAATTAATAACAATGATGTAATGGATGGCATTTTGCTCAAATTAAGTCAAGTGAGCTCAAATAATTGGAATTTAATTAATATCAAATTTAATTATGGAAAATGTATTTTTAGCACTTGTTTTATTTTAAGTATTTCTGAAGTTTGACTGTAATTATGCGTATGTGGAGAATTCTTGAACAGGAACATATAGTATAAAATGATGCTAATAGTTTCAAGGTGTCTTTTATTACTTCATTTTATTACTATGTTTCTATTTCAGGGTTATCAGATGCTTAGCAAAAATCTTCACTTTCAGTGATAAAAGTATATAAAACTGTGCTGTTTGAAGATAAATTTTAACATGGCAGCGTTAGCAAACTGGCTCTAAAGAATGTCTGAGCCAATTATTTCTGCATTTAAGACTGGAATGCTTCCTTATTAAATATTTAATGCTACACTTTCTATGAACGAGATGCAGCTGAACATAAAGGGCAGTGGCTTCTGACTAACAGGGCTGGGGATGTTTAATGCAGTGTTAAGGCTGCAGCTCGACAGCTCCACAGCAGCCCTGCCCCGCACAGCAACTCCTCCTGCCCAGAGCCAGGACCCTGTCAGTCGCTGCTCCCTGATGAATGCTCAAAACACACGTGTGTGCAGATAGCACTGTGGGCGCAGTGCATGTGTAGATGTACGGTGCATGTCTGTACATGCGACTGTGTGTGTATGTGCATGTCAGATCTGGGGGCGGAGAGCCACTCTCTTTCTGCAGTGATGTTTCTTCATTGTCTCACACATCATGTTCACCCCAGTCTGGTGAAGCATGCTATCTTAAATTTAAATTGCCTCAAACTGCTAAAATAATTTACATATTTACTGTTTTCTTATTTTTTGAAAGTAACCAGCACTTACCTAGTGCTGTCTACAAGTGAGAGATGCTCCTTAGCATTGGGCTGTATTGAATTATTCCATAATCATGTCAGGTTGCGTTTCTCTGGACCCACATTTCAGCAGAAGTCTGCCTGGGAGGTTGGAGAAGTGAGGCAGGGGAGGTGTCATTGCTGCCAGGCCTGGCCTGGACTCAGCTGGGGGCCCAAGGGCTGCAGAGCCTCAGACTGAGCTGGGTCTTTTCCAGCTGGTGAGGAAGCAGCGGCATTAATGAGGGGTCTGCTCCCTGCTCCTGTGGCTGTGCCTCCCTGTGACTCACCTTTGAGCTGAACACGACGCCGTGGGCAGGAAGTCCTTGCAAAGAGAGGCCTGGGAAGACTGTGGAACAGAAGCCAACACGATTACTGCACACTGCAGTTCTGTGGAAGCAGCTGTGCCCACAGGAGTGGGGAGGAGAAGGGTGGGCGGAGACTGGGAAGATGATAGACAAAGCCTCGGACAGGCATAGAAAGTTTAAGCTTTTCTTTCTTTTCTTTCTTCAAGATCAACTGCACAGTGTAGTGAATATAGCTCAACTAAGTCATGTATATTTACATTTCACTAAGAGAACAAGTTTCAAAGATTTTGAAAAAATGCTAAATATTTGAAGTTGTGCTGCGGGTTTATTTCAGTCGCATAAGCATCTGTCTGGCAAACACAAGGTCGTAGGTTCGATCTCTGGCACAAAGAAAAAAAAATTGAAGTTGTAAGTACGTTAGAATTGATCCAGTTATTCACACTGCATTAAAAAAAAACTTGGAATCCACCTCTATGTCTATCAAGAGATAAATGGATAAGGAAAATGTAATTATGTACAATGAGCACTACTCTGCCAAGAAGAAGGAAAAACTTGACTATTGTTTAGGAAAATGGATGCACCTCGGCACCATAATGTGAAGTAAAATAAATCAGAGACATGAGCTTCAGTGTTACCTGGTTTCTCTTATGTGAGTAAAATAAAGAGCAAGATAAAAGTAGGCAATAGGAAGCAGAGAGACAATGATTCCCGAAGGAGAGGGGGAGCAGGAGAAAGAGAAAGGGGAGGAAAAACGGGGTGAGGCATGAACAGAAGGAACTGGGAGGGAGGTGACATTGGCCAACTCCACACAAGGAATGTGAACTTTATGTACTGCAAATGTGGGCTAATTAGGTAAAATTTTTTTTAAAACCATAATGTCACTTTGTGACCCAAAATATAGACAACTATACTTAGTTAATAAAAAGTGACTTTAAAACAGACACTAACGTGGGAAGGAGCACCATGAAGGCTGAGTGGGCACCAGCACCCCGCAATCCTTTGACAAGATGTATTTTTGACAACTGAACCAAGTAGTTAGACAACTTGATCAACGTTGCAAGGGGAACAGGTGTGGAGGGTGAGACTCTAACCTGACCACCTGCCCAGAGTCTGGGGTCCTAATTACTACAGCAGTGAGCAAAATAAATTTTACCTGCCTGCTATGCTTCCTACCGTATTCAATTCAAAACCAAATAGACTTTAACTATTTGCTTTAGCCCTTTGCTAAACATCAGACGCTTAATATTTTCTATGCTCTCCTATCCCTCCATAGAACTATTTCTAAGTCTTTCTAGGATGGTTTTCCAGAACACAGGCTGGCACTTTCCATTAAGAAACCAAGAGTGTTATCTGTGACTTTGAACGTCCTGGATCAGGGCTTCCGACAGGGTGGGGCTCTGTGTAACACAGGACGGCCTACAGCTCGCTTCCTGCGCTTCTGTGGATGCATGAAGCTCACAGCCACCGGGAGCCTCGCCTACATGCTCAGCAAAGGTTCCTCCAGGCCCTGGTGAGCAGCTCCCGCTGTGTGGCCAAGGTCCCAGGCAGACACACACACCGAGAAGGTCATGTGGAAGGAGCTGTGACCTGGTCGCTCCTGGGGTCCATCACTCAGGAGTCAGAGTCCTAGAAGCAAACACACTGTGTCCATTTCAACCATTTCCACACTTTTAATGGACGCAAACACCACAGGAAACCCTTCATTCCTAACTCCAAATCTGTTCTTGCCAGGCGGTGTGAACACTGTTACAAAGGCACAACACGTGCTCTGAAGGCAAATGAAGCCCCACTGCTGCCCGAGAGCACACAGAGATCCGCACCTGAGCTTGCCCCTGCCCAGCAAGCACCTCCCTGCATTTAACCTCCTTTATTGAGGAAGGTTTAGGGCGCAGCAGGAATCTAGAGCTTTCTGAAGTCAGCTATCCAGCTTTCCAAAAGCACTGGACAAGAATGCAACAACAGAGACACCCCCGCTCCGCAGCTTCTCTCACACCCGCTCCACTGAAGAGGTCAGCAGGACCAGAGCCCAAAGGCTGCCTTCAGAAGCACTCAGGGCATGTGCCTGGCCCCTGGGAAGGTGGTGATACAACGTCAATGCAGGAAAAAACCAGGAGGAAGGATTAAGTCTGGCAGATTCCTTGCCGCCCACTTGAGCCAAAAGCTCAGAAATGTTATAGAGTGATACTCCGGAGATGTGACAAGTGAGGAACCAGACATTATCCTCCTCCTCCTGAATTCCAAACAGGAATATCCCAGACCATTAAGAATTGAGAAAGGGAAAGAGAGTGAGAGAGAGAAAGAGAAAGAGAAAGAGAAAGAGAAAGAGAAAGAGAAAGAGAAAAAGAAAGAGAGAAAGAGAAAGGGAAAGAGAGAGAAAGAGAAAAAGAAAGACAGAGAATGATAAACAACGGTTTCCTAGCCTGGCCAGCAAAGAAGGAACCAGGTCAGTCAGAAGCAGGGTTGAACTGGACTGCTTGGCTGTGGTGATGTGGATGGGGTTTGGTTGCCAAGTGTCCCCCTCAGTCATTCGCTGGGAACTTGGTCCCTCTATGCTGTTATGGGAGGGGATGCTCATGGGATGGGAGGTTGGCTCTGTGGAAATCGCCCTTGAGGGGAGCACAGTTATACATCTCCTGTGGGCTCCAGGCTTTCTCTAGCTTCTTTTCTTTTCTTTTCTTTTTTCTTTTCTTTTCTGTGATTCTCTAGCTTCTTTTCTCTTTTCTTTTCTTTTCTTTTCTTTTCTTTTCTTTTCTTTTCTTTTCTTTTCTTTTCTTTTCTGTGATCTCTTTGTCATGTGCTTCTGCCATGATTCTACTTGGGTTTTTAGACTCCAAAGCCATGAGCTAAATGGACTCTTTTCTTCCTAAGTGTATACAGCCTCAGATAATATGTTACAGTAACAGAAACTGACTAATATGTACGTAGCATGTTTCATATTCAGTAAGGAATAATAGCTAAAGTATATATCATCTTAACTTTGTATCAACACTGTGAAAACTGGGGAGTTCTGTTTGCTTTTCTTGCCAGCTTGGGTAAAGGAGGCTTAGAGATTTTGAGTCTTTTGCTCAGCCTGTGTCTCAGTGAAGTAAGACATTTTTTACCAACGTCTACGGATTCTAAAATTTCTATATTTAAATACAACATTATAGGACTATTATGCCACAAATAGGGCACCTATTACCAGAGTAGATAGATAAGAATTCAGTCCAAATTTTCTTTCCAACCTGTGAATGTTGGATGCTCCAAGGGAAAGCAAGACTTAGGCAGACTCTAAGGGAAGTGACAGTTGTATTAGCTTTGTTCAGCAATGCATTCCACTAAAATGGGGGAATGAAACTCCCGACCTACTGTATGTCCGGAATGCGTTTGTGTTCTCTAAAATCAAAGAGTAAATTTTAGGAACGACGGAAGTTAAGAACAGAAATAGTTATAGAGAGAAAGAAAGCTTCTGTCTGAGAGAGAGACAGAAGGGGTCCTGGGTGGGTTGCCAAAGATTCTGTATTTTCTCCAAATTTTTGTAAAGTAAAACCTTGAGGTGAGGGGAGTCTAAAGTGGGAAAAACTGGGAACTCACAAAGTAGACGGGCATGAGGTGGAACAGAACTATGGTCAACCAATAATGCTCATTTTTCAGGTAAAACTGAGCAAATCAGAAACAAACAGAGAAGGGAGAAAGCAAGTGAACATTCTTTATGGATTAGTGACTCCTCCTATAGAGGGTTGGGATGGTGACTCCTGGCTTCTCAAAGTGATCCAGATTTAAGCCCTAAGGATTATACTTAAAGGTGTGGTTGCATTTGTTTTGCCTTCTGTCCTGAGATCTGGCCTACAGCAAGAGGTGCGTGTCTCCTACAAAGTCACCAGATGTGGTCCTCAGTGCCAGCTTCTTTGGGGGCCTAGTCCTGTCTGACTGCCTATAAATATTTCTAATTGGCTCAGCTGCCTGGGATACTATGTGCTTAGAGCAGGGCTTGGTTTAGAATGATAGCTTAGGAAATTTTTGGCAAGTGAATGAATGAATGAGTGAATGAAAAAATGATTCACAGAACCCTGAAACTCTGCCATATATGATAGGAGAACTGTAGAGAATCCCAAAGAAGAGAGAAAGCCCTTTCAAGTGGGGGAGACACTACTTTTCCAGATTACTTTGCAGAATGGTTAGTGATGTTTGTAAACTGATGCCATCCAACACCACTCCAAACTGTGCTCATTACCCTGGCCAGATGGTCACTATCCTTCCTCTGCCAAGCTCTGGTCACTGCAATGAAAGAGAAGGAATCTTTTGTCTCTCATTCCATAGCACAAGCAGCATTTGGGGTAAAATTAAAAAAGACAGAAGCCAAGGCAAGTACACAGACTAATGACAAGGTATATTTAATGGTTTAAATTGTAATGGTTAAATGGTCTTATATTTAGGTGTCATTAAGCATATAACTGCTCGTTATATACCCATTAAAGTATTTCAAGATATCCCAGAGTAATTATAACGATTAAAAATAATGCAACCTCCCCAGCTTTTGAATATACACTCTTTTGAGCAAAAAGACTGTCTTCTTAGAATGAATGAGTGGTCCAGCTCTAATGGTTTCATAGAACAGGCTAAGGTGAGAAGAAGCCAATTGCAGGAAAATATAGACAATTTTTAAAGTAGAAAATATCAAACACTGTGAATTTGAGAAGTCTCGTGTTTTAAAAACATGATCAGGCTATGTAACAACATGGTTCACAAATTCTAATGTCCACTCTCAAATCCATTGAAAGATAACTTGGTGGCCCAATTCAAAGATCTGAGGAAAATAGCATCTTAACTTCTAGAACAGTCTGAAACTGAAATTCATGGTCAAATAAAAATATTACTCATTGCCTATGTGAACTAAAATGACCAGGATTCTAAGAATGAAGAATCTGACTTTTTTTTCCTGAGTAGAGCTAAGAAGATAAGATAAATTGGAATTCCTGAGATGACCGGGATACTTACCAGTAGGGAGAGGCTCCAGGGAAACATCTGCTTTCTATCTGCTCAATATTAAGAAGTCATTGACAGGAAGAAATTTTGGTATTTGATAAAAGAAAGACAGCATGTATCAT